CCATATTTGCAGATATGTCCCTCAGGGATTTTCCTTACAGGTAGGTCTCTCGGTTAGCCCTCAGCCAAACAAAATTACAAATCTAACCTACTGGTTAGTAAACAGCCTCGCAGTCAACCTCGGCAGTCAGAAGCAGTAAGTCATTGCACTACGGTCTTTGGAGATGACACCGGTGCTGTGGATCCTCAAAGAAGACTTGGCACTCTTCTGCAGGTACTGGGTGCACGAGTTAATTGGCAAAAATCCAAGGCCATTATTCCACTCAATAAGGAACCCCTGGAGGGATGGGATATCCCCACTGTGACAGCACGAGAAAGAATTGCCTTTTTAGGAACCAATCTTACGCCAAGCTATGGGGGCGTTGAGCAGATGGCAATACGAGCCACAGCGGCGGTGGCTCGGCTGAAGACGTGGAGTGCGAGAGGAGGCATGGGGTCTTCAGAAAGGCCATAGTCATCAAAATTCGGTCTTGGCCACACTTTCGTATGCGGGCGCAGTGCACACGCTGGGCAGACGAACCTTTCGCTATACCAGGAAGGATGTCCATGCGCACCTGCGGTCCAACAATGCGAAGGCCAACAATTCCAATTGCAGGGTGGCATGGAATAAAGTTCAATAAACTCATTCAGCCAACACGTTCTGGGGGCCTTGGATTGCTGGACCCGCAACTGCAAATTATCACACTGCACTGCGGCAATTGATTTGGGCTCTGCTATGCACCAGGGGGACAACTTGGCAAGAGATCACACAGACTCATTTGGCATGGGCGCTCCAGACCCCACAGGAACTGCTGGACCTATGCCTGATTAGCAATTCTGCGATAGGCCATCTTCGAAGGGATACAATTTGGTCCCAAAAGTTTGCATTGTAGAAGAAGGTTCATCTGAGATGCCGACTGCCAAAAACTGCAGATGCCGTCTCCAACCAGTTGCTGTTTGATAACCGCTTTATCTGTGATGGAGAGGGGGGACCCTTCCAATGGCAGGGACCTAGAGGCGTTTTCGGGCTGAATTGGGCTGTGCAAGGTATTTACAGGTCACTTCGTGCTCTTTCTAGATACTATAGCCATATCTGGCAGATTCGGATCTGAGAGGAAAGAGAGAGGCATGGCAAGCTGACAGTCAATCCTCCACTAAGATGGAGTAATCAATGCTGCTTAGGGGTCCTTCAGCCAGACGGAAGGAAGCGTGGAGTGTCATGATTGTAACGTTTCTTCTGGGAAAAAAAAAATAAAAAAAATCTGTTGCTTTGGGGCCTGGAGAAAATGGAAAAAAACGGATGGGGAGGGGGAATAAGGGTTTGGACAAGGGTTTGGGCAATACTGAACAGTGGGGGATAAGGAGACTAATGCTGATGGGCTCCAAGGGGCGGAGGCCATCAGACAAGAGGATTTAACGCTAGGTTTTGAGGGTCTTAGACATGAGATGTTAACAAAAACTATCAACTGAGCTTACTGACTGAGTGAACCTGCAGTCAACATTCGTAGGATCACAGGTACTAATGCGGGGTGGTTACCCCGACAACACTGCCACAGAAGGCTCTCAAGTGTGAACGACATTGGCTCAAAGTTCTACAAAATGTATGACGGGATGCTGGACCCGCTTTCCAGCAGGTGCTGCTCCCCACCAATAGATGGGAGTCATCTAAAGTGGGTCTGCTAATGGGGGATTCTCCTATCACCTCCATTAGCATGAGCCCCGACAGCGCGATGTTTCTCCCAAAAAAACAAAAAAAACAAAGTGGGTCACTTATGGGATGAGGAGCAGAAGGATTGGTGAACATGTGAAGAAACGGAGAGAACCCTGCAAGGGCGGATGAAGAGGAGACGGCAGGTGAGAGACCTGCGGGAAGCGATCCCCCCCCAGTGGGTCGACCTCCTGTGGCAAAATGTTATAACAGCAGGGCAATGGGTGAAGCTCGAGGGCGACACGGCGCCAGATAGACTGTACACGGTGGAACGCGGAGGACAACCTGCAGGTCACTTAATGGTTGATGAGTCCGGGTCTGGGGTACGATGGACTGGGCGAACCGCTGCAAGAGGTAAGGGCACAGGGGAGACCTGCCGAGAATAAGTTAGCAAGAGAATGTTAGAGACAGTGGCAGTCTGTGAAGGGGGGAAAAAGGCAGAAGAGCAGTTCTTGCCATTTTGGGTGGCCTCAAGATTGTGGGATCTACCGTGGGACCCAAGAGAGTGGGAATGGCCACTGCAGAGGATGCATAAAATGTCTATGCAGCTCCTGGTGGTGAAGCCAGTAAACATCTGCAGGGAACTAAAGGAGCAGTGGGCTAAGCGGGCTTGGCTCAAGGACATCTACGTCAACAGACGGACGCAGTAGAGATGGAACGAGCAATGTGCCATTATGGCAGCCCTACCAGAAGAGAAGCAAGCGGGCTTACTCTGGCAAATCTAACCACCTGGCAATCCCGACAGCGCAATGGCAAGCCACAAAAAGTCAATATAAAGATCAGACATGTGCTGCGGGATGTGGCCAGGTGGAAACTATCCCTCATCTCTTTGTGCGATGCCCGGAGGTCCGGGCATTCTGGCAATGGTGGGCACATGTTGTAGATGGGGCGCCCCTGAATGTTGATGAGACAGATGATGCAGAGATCCTCTGGGAGACCTTGATTAAGGTCAACAAATTGGCCTTGGGGAATTGATGGTGGACGAGATTGTGAGAGCTGTGGTTCTATGGGCCTTGTGGACGCTGAGGAACGAGCGATGCAGGCAGGGTGCGACCCCGCCGCTACGTGTATACCAGGAACGTGCCTTGGAGAACATCAGGATCGCCTTGTTGGCGGATCCCCACACAGGCCAACTGCAGTTTGACCCCATCTTGGCACACAATGTTCCTCAGCCGGAGACCGAGGATGAAGAGGAATAGCGTACAGCCCCGACCGATTGAAACTGATTGCAGTCTTGTAACATATAGAATGTAGAAAGAGGGGAGAGGACCGGGTGGGATTGTTAATGTACTATACTTACGTAACATGCCCAATAGGGGAAGCGATAGAAGGATTCCCGGGGATACGAGTAAGGTGAGGGGAAGATGAAGAAGATAGGGGTTGGGAGATAGGGAGGTGAGTTTCACAGAAAAAGAGGGGTAAAACGACGGAGAAATCGTGGGGCAACGTCAAAGTAGAGATAGGACACAATTTGAGAGGATGGTAGGTGGGTAAGAGACAAGGGATGGCAGTAGGTGGCAAGCAGGACATACGCAAGGGCAATGTAAGTAGGCAATCTGAGTAGGATGGTACCAAGAAATATGGGAGAACAAGTAAAAAACTGGTAGGGAGGACAAGAAATATGGAAGAACAAGTAAAACTGGTAGGGAGAACAGAACTTTATAGAGGGAGCACGGTTATAGTCGGAGACCGGTGTTGTAGGAACAAGTCTTCTTGGCTTTTCCTGAGAGGTCTTGGTTTACAGGAGACAAGCAGTCAGCGAGACTGCCAGGATCTTGCCCCCTCCCTCCCCGCCATCCCTGGGATCCTTCTGCTGCGTGTATGGGTGCTGCTAATAAGCTTCCCGGCCAACAGAAGCACCCCAGGGGAGGCTACGGTCTAGAGGCTGGGATGGCATGTAGTCCCCTCCTTGACGGCGACTAGTACCGCAAGGGCTTGGCTGATTTCTATCCCTGCAATTATCTCACTTGAACTCCTGCTTGTCGGTGATAAGCAACCGGATTGATGCCCCCCAGAATAGAGGGGGCTTCGTGTTTTTCAAAAAAAAAAAAAAAAAGAAGTGAGGGAAACCACTGTAGGAGGGACATATGAAATTGGTGCCAAGCGGCCTGAGAGGCTGCCAGGCATATCTCCCCCGCGCCTTGCCATTTACCGGACTCACCTGCTGTGTGTCCGGATGCTGCCAGTAAGCTTCCCGGCCAGCACGTGGACCCTCGCAAATGAGCTATGGTTTGGGGGGAGAGAGGCCTTGGGGCATCCCCCCGCTTGTCTAAGCTGCTACAGCTAGAGGGGTGGCTGAGTCTTTTCTTTTCTGTCTACCTTTCTTTTCCCCTTTGACATGCTTCTCTGCACAAATATGCTTGCCGGTGATGAGCAACCTCACTGAAACCCCTAGAGTAAACAGGGCATAATTGTTGTTTGAAAAAAAAAAACAAAAAAACTTACAATGGAAGTTTTGATCACAGCCAAATAAGATTGGATTTAACCTTCACCCTGAACAACATCTCAAAAGATAACTTTTTTGAAGGTAAGCAATTCTCTAGAAGATTTCAAAAGAGGAGTAACACAAGCACCACGACTGTAGTATCACTCTACAAAAAAGCATGACGTAATACAACTATTGTTCACACTCAGATAGCAGGTAGGGCTGACTGCTACTACCCATCGGACCTGAGCACTGGCCTATTATCCCTGGGTCTTCTGACTTCCGAGACAACGCCATTTTCTTTCAGCTGAAACTTCGATTTAAAAAAAACAAAACAAAGAAATCCACTTATTCATAGTGGCTCGTCACTATACCTTGCCTGCTCGCAACGACATCATTGCTCTGCCATCACTGGCATTGCAGATTTGCCCCAGCCTCGCCACTCGCTTGAACTCCTTTTCCAGGACCGGTGGAATTGCTTTTACATCTATTCCCAGGAGTTTCAGTCCTCGCCCGGCATTTTCGTCAGTCACCTTCAAAGTGTATTTCCCCTTTCCCTGCATCCACATTACAGCACCATTTCAATAGCTTGTTGGTTTTTTTTTTTAAACAAACAGGTCCTTATGGGCCTGGCTCCTTTTCCATTCTGGGGAGCGTACTCAAGCTTCCTTCCATACGGCTCAAGGACCCTTGACCAGCATTGATTGGTCCCCTGAAGGAGGATTGACTGTCAGCTTGCCCTATCCAATTGATTCTCTCAGGTTCCCTTCCCGGGCCTGTCACATAAACCTATTCAAACAAGAAGTGGAACCTACTCAACAAGACAAGTGGGAGGATCCGCCTCCAGATACAACTCTTGAGTCTCATTCCTCTCCAAGGCACTAGACTAATAACCTTGTTGCTCAGCATAGGACACTGTAGTCCGCGACGGAACTATTCCATCGGTCGTGAGGTGTCTTGACCTTCTCACATCTCCTTACGAGTTGTGCCAGTCCAACCACCGTATGTAGGAGTCCTTTATCTCTGCATTTCCATCCACCAGCCAGATCTTGGTAAACTTCAACAGAACTCTGCGCTGTTGGTCCTCGTCTGGTTGGGAAAGTCTTGTCTTGTGCCACTTGCATAGAATCTCTGGCTGGATCAAAGTCTTTGTTTCTGCCCACACCTTTTCCCTTGAATTTGACGTGCCCTCAATGCTCCTGCAGCATCTTTCCTTCCAGATGGTCCACAATATCACCTTTCTGATCATTCCAAATCAGATCTTCTCTGTCTTCTGCAGATGGGCGAGGATGTGAGTCCATACAGCATATTTGTGGCATACTGTGCATCCACACGGGCCTGCAGGGCCCGACCAGACGGAAAATAAGGGCCCTCCAGGCCCTGTGTCGTTTCAGCCTAAAAGCCTAAAAAGGAGGGCCATTTCCAGGCCCTCATAAAGTCGACCTGTCCTGAAACTTAGGCGCCAGACCAGGTTTAAGCGCAGGCCATTTTTAGGCCCGTTTCAAGACTACCTTTTTTTTAACTTCAGCGCCAGGGTCTGGCATGATTGGGCATTGGCAAGAGCGGCCTCCCAGCCGAACCAGCACTATATAGTACTGGTCCCCCAGACACTTCCCAGGCAATTCACGGGCACTTCACGTGCAGGAGGCAGGAGGCAGTCTTCAGGATTCGGCAGCAGCACTCTGCAGGAGCGCTGCAGTAGTAGTAGCTAGCGTTAGGAGTAGTCTTCAGCTCTGGGCGCTGCTAGGAGCTTAGAGTAGCGTTGAGAGAGAGAGAGAGAGAGAGAGAGAGAGAGAGAG